ATGTTTAATACAATTAAATGGCAGTCTAAAGCTGACTAGAAGGGTTTTAGAGTGGTTTAGAGACAGCTTAGAGTTGTGTAAATTACATCTGGTTTGAGGCAATTGCTTCATTTGAGAAATACAGAGTTCCTTAGAGCTCATTAGAGCTGATTAAAGGATTTTGGAGCCATTTAGAAGATGTACACAGTAGTTTAGAGACGCCTAGAGGTGTTTAATATCTTACAGATATGTTCTGAGAAATTTTTGAGTTGGTCCAGCCAATCACCTCCTCAGTTCAGAGCTGGGACTGTCTTCCCACATCTGGTCACTGTTTCTGAGTCCCCTCACTGCCCCTGTCCCTCTCCCCCACTATCACACATTAAAGGGTTTTCTAAGACTCTCTGAATTACCAGAAGAAAAAAGAATTGTGCTTTAGCCAAAAGGAACGCTTCAATGGCTGTGGGAATTTACATTCAGGAGAACCTGAATACATGAACTGACATTCCAAAATTTGCACAGTAAATTCTAGGCAAGGCAGAAGAGGAGTTCAGGCTGTCTGCAGCTGCAGCATCTTGTGCAGTGACTGGAAAAGTGCCTTGCCACTTGCCTCCCAGATATTAAATTTTCATTTTAAACTATTAAGTCCACTGTTGATTCTACCTGAAAACTTGCCAGTTTAAACTGTTAAGCATAACCTGGAAGATTTTCCTAACTTAGCATTTTCTTAACAGTCTTACACAGACATTCCCTGACAGGGAGTCAGAACTATAAACTCTTCAAAGTCCCTTCCAACACAAACCATTCTGTGATTCTCTGATTCAGGTTGCTGTGTCTGTCACATAAAAGTTGCTTTAATTTTTAGATGTTAATATGCTTTCCCATTAGCGGTCAACAAGAACAACCCAATTTGTGTCTCTGGAAATAGAAAGAACTGTCAGGATGCACTGGAGCCGAAGTGGCCACTGGCAACCAAGAGAGAACCAGGGATGTCACTCTTCAAGAAAAGCTCACCTCTGAACACAGCCAACAGTGCCACCTGCTGCAGAGTGCAGCGTTGGCTCGCTCTGGGCACGGACAGGAAGAGAGACCAGGTTCTCGAAGAATTAATCTCCGAAGGCTTTACTCACATCATCTAAAGAACAGAAGTACCCACCAAAACCCCACACCCACTACCAATATCCCCACTGTTAGATGACTGAGAGTTTAATATGAACCACACTCATGCCAGTAAAATGAGGAAGAAGCTTAGGAGATAAACCCTCAGTTCCAGTTACCTCTTCATGCCTACTTGGAAGTGGAAATTATTTTAAGGAAAAATTTTCCTTTAACATATTAATCCCTGCTCTCTGGGCCTGTTTCCATCATGTCTGGATATGTTCTCAGGTTCCTGGGAATACATAGGGAAATCCCAAGCTCTCAAGGGCAATTTCTGCATATTAGGATCTTTTTCAGACATGTAGGGCTGCTCCCACAATTTCAGAACAACCCTTCAGCAGAGTCAGAGGAGCTGCCAGGTGGTCTCACTCCATGCAGCATATACATTGGAGTAGGCTGAGAACGAGAGAGAGAGGGAGGGAAGGAAGGGGCCAAAGCAGATAAAGAGAAGGAAAAGACCACTTTAAAACTCTGGAAAGGGGGATTAAATAAAGAAAATGCAGAGCCCGCTTCATTTCTTCCCAGACAGCTGTTGCATTTTCAGAGCTGTGTTTGCAAATAAGGTCTATCCTGTCACAGTTTAGGCTTATGTCTCTTCTAAACCATTTAAAAAAGCAAAACCAGCAATACAATAAATTTGTGTCAAGACTTTTTTTTCTAACAAGCACTGTTACCTCTTTCCCTTAATGAGACATTCCTATCTTGAAGATAAAAATTCACCTTTTTTCATGTTCTTGTTTCTGGGAAGAATCTGTCAATAACAGAAGGTGGATCAATTTGTAGGGGAAGATGAATTAATTTCCTCTCAGCACTCAGAGATGATGGGAAGTTTCTGTGGATCTAGGTAACTTCTTTCACTGGCCAAAGCTTGCTGAGACAATTGCAAATGGAGTTCAGTTTCTAGCTAGATCCCAAAGTAGATCCATATTAAAAACAAGCCTTTCTGTGGAAATAAAACACTGAATAAAGCAGTATATAAAGCTGAGATAGCTTCTCTCTGGGTAACTGCTGAGATAGCTCAGCAGAGGAATCTTGGAAAATGCCAAGTCAGGAGTGCTCTGGAGTGGTGTTGGGTGTAATAAGCTTTTTATTTGGCCAAGAGCAGCCAGTTCCATGTCTTCTCTGATGAAGTGAGCACAAAATCACTAATTCACCAAGATTTAGGTAACACTGTCACTGAGTGAGCAGGAAGATGCAGTAGTTGCACACCACTTGTAACAAACTAGCTGAAATCAAGAAAAAATATAGACAAAATCTTCACACATATTTCCAGAAAGCAGATGATTTTTGGCTGAAGGTGAATCCAATGGTAACAAATTCCCCACCTGACATGAAATGTGTAGGTCACAGCATAAGGCCTAAATACCACCTCACTGCAGTTATGGCATATTCCCTTCCACAATTTTTAAGTATAATAAGGAATCTCCTTGGAACAGTACTATAGTACATTCAACTGCTTCTTTAGAAGATGGTGTGTTTCTGCTTGTTCATTTTCCATGTAACAACATACAAGGACACATCTGCTGCCCTGGACAGTAACTACAGTAACATCACATGCTCAACTCCTTTGCTGTGAAGTGAGGTTTCTACACCAACAAATGAGTGTATGTTTACAAAAGTAAAGGCCATTTATATGTGGAGGGACTCAGCTCTTTTAAATTAGAATAATTGTCAAAGATTCTCTGACAGGCTTAGGCAGCAATACAAAACTGCCTGGTGCTTTGTGTTGAGACCACTTGATAAAACATATGAGTGGCCACACATCCCTGTCTGCCCCTCACACCCCCATTCTTCATATCACACTCAGACCTGTCAGCTACAAGAACATGACTCAAGAGTTATCATTAACCACACTGTAACAACACACTTTTTTTCCTGGGTTCCTCTAGTCCTGACACAATTAGGTCAGTGGAAAAGATTCCTGCTTGTGCACACAGTCTGTGCTTGCCTCTAGGGATAAAGGTAACTTAGAGCACAACTGCACTGATGTGAAGCAGTGCTTGTAATGCTGCCAGAGCAGATGGAAGCAGTTTTGCTGTGGAGAATGTTGCTTAAGGTCTTGTTACAGAGAGGAAAAGTGGAAATCATAAGTGATCATATCACAGGCTTGTCCTTGTCCTTATCCAATCAAAGTTATTATTTAAGTACCAGTTCATTACAGTGTTCCTACCCAGATGAAGACAGTAAAATTTAGGTACAAACCACATGCTTTTATCTGCTTGTGCCCTCATCTCTGCTCCTTAAGGCAAGGGAACAGAAAAACATTGCTTTGTTAGCTGTTCTAGAAAATGCCAGCCAAGTCCCAGACACATATTTATGACATTACAAAGAGGTCAAAAGTTTTGGAATGTATATAAACAGAATACATGTCCCCATGCCTGCCCTACTGTCTCATGCAGCTGTTGACATGTTCTCTCAATGTTTATGTGTAAAAACAAGAGTGCTGGAAAACAACCTCTTGGGAAAACACTGAGGATTGTTCTCCAGCCTGGGGGTGCTCCACCAGGAACAGTCAACTCTTTGTCAGGGACATCAGCTGGACACACAAACTCACTGGGGGTTTGTTCTGGGCCTCTCTGCTTCAGAAACCAAATGAGAATCCACTGTGGGCTTGTCTTTATATACACAGCTACTGCCCCCCTTCCAAGGTAATACTTGTCAGTGCTCACCACTGGGGTACATTTGTGGCGATTTGCCAAACAATTGTTGCTGGGTATTGTTTTTCATATCTGGAGGTGTTCAAAAACACTTCCATCCCTGGGGTGACAGGGTAAGGTGACAGCTCACCTTACACCAGCCCATGACTTTGCATGCACGCCTGTAGCTCCTGAGCAAAGACCAAGCAGCTTCTGCTCCTCCAAACACCCTCCTGCTGCTCCTGTTTGACCCAAGCAGAGCACAAGTGAAATGGAGAAATATTTTACTCTTTAAAATAAAAAGAACAAAGCATGCAGAGAAGTGGTTACACATTGCAGGCCTCAACCTGTTTGAATAAACTGCAGTAACAAATCACTGTACACCACCCTCGTCTGCGGCTCTGGAGAGATTTGTGGCTTTAGAGATAAATTCACAACTGCTTTTTGGCATGGTTTTACTTCCCTTTTCAGAACAGGAGTGTATCATACAGCATCTTGATGAAGTTCTCAGCAAGCTGAGTGAGTTTCCTGTTAAAAGTCATTCCCAGCTATTGATGTAAAATGTCCCCGAGAGTTCAGCTGAATTTGGCTGCAAGGAATTTGCACAAACCATGACAAACTGAGAGGTGTCCTCAGAATACAAACTGTGCAGTTTAATCTGCCCTATTGTGCTGGTACCAAACTATGTCTGGAGCTGCAGCTGGCTAAATGAAGAGCCCAGCTTTGCAGTGTGTATTATAAGCAGGACAGGATTTCACAATGGCTTTGTATAACCCCTTTGTGCAGATATCCAAGGGCTAAGAGGGCTGATTAACCTCAAATACCGCTCAGAACAGCCAGCCATCAGAGAACACTGTCTGTCTTTCATAACATGCCAGCAAAAATCTCGTGAGGATGGTCTCAGCAGAGTGTGCAGCCAGATTTCTACCTACCCTTCACCCCTGTGGTAAAAAGGAAAAGCTGGCATTCTGTATAGCACCACTCTCACATAATCCAAGTCAGGTGGGGGGGGAGACATATTATTTATATGTGAAATCCTTTCTCCCAAAACACAAAACCTGCCACTGACCCTGTCATAAGTGGGAACACAGCCATGGCAAACAGGGGAAGTTACACAAGGGTACAAAACTGTTGATGGAGCCAGATCACACACTAGTCCCAGTGTTGCCTTGTGGATAGTAGGTGGGGCCTTTGGCATTTGCGTGGGGGCTCTCCAATGAGACCCAGAGCAGGACAAGGCTCCAGCCTTCTGGTTTTCGTAACAGTAGCCCCCTCCAGTAGCGTTGAGGCATGGGAGGAGCTTGCCCAAACTCAAATAAACACTGACATGCAGCATCTTATGGGGATGTGCAGCCTCCAAGGACACACTGCAACAGCTGGAAGGACAAGGACTGAAACTGTAAGTATGTCTACCTTCTCCACTTCCTTAACTGCACTAGTAGTTTGTGGAGTGGCATGTTCTGGCTGCACTTACTTGTGCTAGCAGTGTAACCTGCTGCCTGTCCCTTTGGCCCATGTATTAACAGCTGCAGGAAAAAACTAAACATCCTATTAATAGATGGACATTTCAAAGTTCAGCTTTCTTGTACATCTAAAGTTCAACTGTATCTGGAGAATCTTCTGTTTGTCTCTCCCGTCCCAAAGCATTGTTTTATGCAATTAAAAAAAATATTTCTAACATGCAGTCACAGACAGTACTGACCATAAAGTTACAAAATCCAGAGCTGAGGTCTACCCAGTAGTTACAGAAATGTACGTTGGGAAGCAGCTGGAAACAGCCAGTAAAGAGAAACCAGCTTGCTCAGTAGTTAATACAAGTGTTGAGCAGCAACAGCCTTGTCTTTCAAATGGCAATAAATTGTTGCAGAAGTTTCAGTGTAACTTCTCATATTTGCTTCTAATTATATGGATTCCTACTTTATGCTGCTTTGTTGATTTGCAAACACCATGGACAAAGTCTATGAATAGAGTACAACTGTGCAGCAGTCCCTGGGGACCTTCATTCTGTCAGGTCTGCTGGAGATGATGCACCTTCAGGCTGGGACAGGGAAGGGAACAGCACCTGCCTGTATGACTAGCAGCCGTATCCAGCTGTTTGATTCTGACCTTCCCTTCACCTGTGGTGGCAACTGAAGGAGCTGCTGGAGAAAGCTCAACATTGAAGTGGCTCCACACACTACTTATTTTACAGACTCTAAAGAAACCACCAGGGTTTGTGGCCTATTTTTTACGGTGTGTTTTAATAAAAACTTTTCAGCCTCAGATCCCAAGAACTCTTCTCCCAGCCACCTCTAGGTAGGGTACAGAAGGGGATTAATAGAATTTACCAGTAGTCCAGGTACTGTAAAAAGATATAACAGACAAGAAAGTAGCTGAGTAGCACAAGGCAGTTGATTTTACAAAACTCACAGTTAATTATTGAAACAGGTAATTAAGTTACAGTCTAAGAAGACAACATTCTATGACCTAAGAATCCAGATAATCACTGAATTATGTGCTCTTTGCAACATGACAGGTGAAGGACATTGTAATGTAACACAAAGCAGAGACTGTCAGAATGTACATCACACACTACAGTTTGTGTGGTTAACAACAGAAATTATATATGGAGGCCACTAAAATCTCAGCATTTAGCCAGATCTGACAATTTTCAACACTGGTTTTGAACACTTTTACTTGCTTTGTCTGGGACAGTGTTTTTAAGTTTTCACCTTTTTTCCTACCATATGAAGGCTATGGAGGAAAATAGTTATTCATTTAGAAATGCAGAAAATCTAATTTATCCACAGGACTCTGAGGCTAAAAGCCTTTAAGAAAGCCATCTGCTATCATGAGAGACCAACTAAAGTTAAGAGCACAATCAACACCAGAGAAGCCACCAAACCACTACTGTTTTTTCACCCAGGAGCAAACAGACTGAAGTGAAGTCCTTTTGACTTACAGATTTCCACAAAACTCCCACTTGCAGGATCTCACTTTGCTGTCAGGAAACACCTTTTTGTCACAGAGAAGCAAGGGCAGCATATCCTGAAAGAACACTCCCTACAGTAGAGGTAGTTTCTTGGTCCTGGTGCTCTGTTCCTGCAGGGCTAAATGGCTTTCAGCCTTTATTCAGGCCTTCCACCAGTTGAGTAACATTTGAAAAGCTCTAGTACCACATTAATTTAAGAGATGCCAATGAACAGTGTCTGCCTTCCAGCTCTGGCAAGATGATCAAGTCCTTCAAGCAAACATTTCTGTCCCTGGACCTGCAGTCCCCTCGATGGAGCTCAGCAGAGAAAAAGGTAACTGCAACAATACTTGTATGCTGATTTGTAAAGGGTAGTTACTAATTTCTATCAACACTCATCTCATGGTTACTGTGACTTTTGCTACCTTTCAGGCAAAGGACTACGAACTGCGTCAGTACGAGACAGCCAAGTGGGTCAGCACAGTCATTAGGGGAGAAACCCAGAAGGAAGCAATGCGCCAGGGCTTCTGGAAACTCTTCCACTACATCCAGGGAAAGAATGAAAAAGGTAGGACATGCTGGTTTTGAACAGAAAGAATTAAAATTACCTTATGAACAACACAGGAGCTGGGAGATGCAGCTTAAGACACATGGTTTTCCTTTCCTCTAGAAATGAAGATTGATATGACTGTGCCAGTGACCTGCCTGGTAAAATCAGGCTGCACAGACTTCAAGATCTCTTTCTTTGTGCCATTCGAACACCAGGACAGCCCCCCCCAGCCCACTGACTCTGATGTGTTCATTGAGGAACGGAAGGCAGCAGCTCTCTTTGTCCGGTAAGCAAAACCAGCACAGCTGACACCACAGCAATCCAGCTCAGTGGCTGCCCCCAATTAACTGTGGGCTACACTTTCTTAAAAGATGATTAAGCCTGGATAGACCCTGCTGTTCAGAGCCTTAATTGTTAAAACCCAACCCTTAGGCAATCTTATGCTTGAGTGTCTTAGCACTAAAAGTGGGCAGGTTGTGAAACACTTATTTTTTCAGGAAACACTTGAAAATGGTATTGAGTTTCATAGAGATGCAGCTTCAGAATCATCTTCTGAAGACAGTGTTACAGATTATCTAAACCACTCTCCCAGTACTTTATTTGTAGTCCTGAACTGCCACAGAACACACAGGGCAGTTGTTACTTGGGTGCTCACTTGTTTAGATCTTACCTTTAAAAACAGATAAATACCCATGGCTGCTTGACTGCTAGTTTTGCATGCATGGGTAATCTATTGACTACAACCTGCAGCACAAGTGAAAATAAAGCCAGGGGCTTGAAGAAAAAAAATCTTTTTTCACTTTTACCAGGTCCTTTGGTGGATTTGCCTCCCCAGAGAAGTATGCTGAGGAAGCTGATGCCTTGGCCAGAACCTTAAGAAACAGAGGCCAACCATTCCATGAAGATTTCTTTTATACTGCAGGCTATGACAGTCCCTTCAAGCTCTTTAACAGGCATAACGAAGTGTGGTATTTTAAAAAGTAACCCTCTGGGGGATGTTAAGAGGGTACTAATCAGCTCTGGATGAAAACAGACCATATTATTGGCTTGTGTTTTAGTGCAGAAGAGATTTAACTTGCATGTAGACACAATGTCCAAATTTATTTTCTCTAGGATGAATAACTTTTCTGGATAAAAACATTTCAAAATGTAATTCAAGATCATATCAGGTGGAGCAGGCAGGAAACATAACTTACTCCTTTTACTGAAAGCAACACTAATCATGTGAAAATAATCCTGCTGAAGTTTAGGTACATAGCACTAGTTGAAGTGTTATGGAAAGGAAGTTCTTCATAACTGACTTTCATAAGCTGACTCCTCATACTGACATCACTCCTGAGACCAGGGAGGAATTTAAATAAATTTTTCAGAAGAAGCAAGCTTCCATTAAGGAGCATTAGAAAACAGAACTATCTTAGCAGGCCTTAAGGACTCTAATTATTTGTATTATCAAAATCTCCCGCCCCTCCAACTTTTCCCTTATGAAGATCAAATATTGTTTTGTTTAAATCCAGAATCCTTGGAAAAGATTACCAAGTCCAGGCTGTACACTTGTTCTGAGAGGATCTGCACCTGAACCTGTATTACCAAGATTACTGCTGGACTATTACTTCAGTAAGCAAGTATTAAGTTTAGCAGTCTCCTTAAAACACTTGAAATACTATTGAAGTTATTTAGCTTTGCCTAAAATATGGTCACTTGCAGCCTGCACACCAGCAGTATTTGACACCTCAGTTAAGACACTTGCAGGACAAGCCATCTAGCCTAGTTTAGTCTCTGCTCTAAATTTAGCATTTAAAATTCTAATATAGCAGCCTGGAGGTGTTTTGCATCGAGTTGTTCCAGACAGAAAGGAGGTCACAACATCAGGTAGAGTTTACAGATTTTTATTCACTCCAATCAGCATCAGGCAAACATTACCAGTGAGGTAAAAACACATGGCTTTTTTAATGCTGTTCATTCAAGTGTAACCCATTTATCAGCCATCTTCCACCTATTAAGACAGACATAAAAACCATTATAAGGTACCAAACCAGCACAACATACTTGATGGGAACATCTCAGACCTTAGAATTTCATCTCTGTTCAGTGAGAGAGTTCAAGCTAAGGTTATCATCACTTGTTCCAACAGATTATCACAGCAGTTACACTCACCTTCTCAATTCCTCATATGCTAATTTCAGAGTTGCTTCTTCACCTAAATAAAGAAAACAGAGTTAGCATATGCAGCAGCACAAGTGCTAAAAGCTCCTTAACAGCTTTGTAACCTCAGAGAGAAATGGAACGGAAAGGATAATATCACAGTAACTCATTTGGCAGAATCAATTTCATCAGTGGCTACAAATATACCCAGAAGTTTTTAATGCAATTAATTTGCTGTGTGGACTTACCCAATGAGGCTGCAGACAGCACAGTCTCTTCCTGAGAAAGGAAGAAGTACTTTCAGAATAACAGACAGCAGCACTATATGCCAAGTTCAATTATCTATTAATTTCTATTCACCAAACTTTTACCTGAATGGAAACTGACCTTTACCTGGCATCTTACGAGTTCAACTTACTTCACCCAAATACAGAATTACTAACATTGAAAGAATCAGGGAAAGTAAAAAGCTATTACTTTGTGATACTGTCTCACCCAACAGTGTTATATTTAATGGTTTTCAACATCTAAAATACAAGTCCCAGTTTTCAAGATTGCTTCTATTTTTGAAAGTGTTTGGGGTGTTCCAGTTTTCTGGAAAACAAGTTTGTACACCAATCACCTAGAACTCGAGCTAGATTTGTGTAGAACCAATATAAAGATAAGTAGTAACAACTGCTGAGAAGTGACAGCCACAGCTCAAGTTTTTATTTTAATCCAGAGTGCAGTGTTAAAGGAGTGCCCACAGAACAGCCAGATACAATAAAGGGGAGAGAAATCAGGTACCTTATAGGACTATTTTTGGGCACCGCTATTTAGGCATTCAGCACAAAGACAATATACCAGGAATTATTAAACCCCATGTATTCTACACTTACCTCAGACACATCCATTTTATTTCTCAAACTCCACGCAAGCGTCACCCTGTAAAGAAGGGAAATTGTACTAAAACCCTTTTGGCAGCGGGTTGAGAGTGCAAATGTGGGTACTGTTTCAGCACAAGAGTTCTCCTCAGCCTCTTTCAGAGAGATTCCCATTGCTTAGAATTCATCACAAACAGTACATGCCAGGAGTAGCTCAATGCAGTTATCTCTTGTGACAAACCCTTAAAAGGGGGATCTGACCCTGATCCCAACCACATCTTCATTCCCATCACCATAAGAGCTCTGATCTAGCCATTCATTGAGGTAAACAATTTACCACGTAAGGATTCAAGATTAGTGCTACTCCCTAAAGAAGCCCACTTCATTTTAACAGCAAGAAGTTTAACAGCAGGTAACTGTACTGCATTTGCTCAGCCCAGAACATGTGACAAGCTGGTAGCAAGGAGCTTTTCTCATCACATAGGAATTCAAGTAGTCCATAGCAGTTACACATTTAAAATGGTCACCACTATTTCTTTTTAGTCACAGAAAGCAGTTTGAGATATGCAGCACCTTGGGGGAGTGAATCCTGCAGGCTGCTTTTTACCTGGAAAACGTTATAAAATCAAGAACCCTGCTTAATGCTGCAGCCAGCCCTGTAAATGGCCCTGTTAACAGGCAGGATCTTGTAACTTCCTCATTCCCTGTATCACACAGCTCTGACCAGTCACACTGGTGTTAGCAACTTACGTTTGCTGGCAGCACTACCAGGTGCATCACGTCCCAGCTCCACCACACCTGGATCAAAGCAAACCATTAGAACAGTACAGAAACAAGCACAGAAGGAGAAAGCCCAAGTCAGGTGCCTGCAGTCAGATAGAGCTAATTACAGACCTCCACGATTGAAGTCAAGGCAGTCACATCTCATCACACAGGCAGCTCACACTGTCAGCCCCTGTGCAGCCCTGCTATAGGGCTGGGCTGCTGTGGGCAAGAGGGCAAATACTTAAGTAGTGCCATCAGAGCAAATTCAAGAGGAGCTCACAGTGATGAGTTTAGTGCACACCAGTCTGTCAAGGCTGGGCTCCAGCCAGCAGCTCCCCTTTAAACATGCTCCTGTTTTGGCTGAGATGCAAGCCACAGCCAATGGGCCTCTTATCCCCTAGCTGACAAGCAGTTAAAATCTTATGGGCCTATGTTCAAGTCCTAATACTTAGGAAGTAAAAACAAGTACTTACCTCAGAATGAGAAACATTTGGAAGCCTGTAAAGAAAAATTTGCTATTAGGCAGGGTCCAGCAGGAAGTTATAGCATTAAGAACAGTTTTAGTCAAGTACTGTATCAGGGTTTGGTCAATTTATCCTCATGGGGATCAGAGACCTGATTCAACATTAACATCATTTACAGTAGGCTGCAACACTCCTATCCCCCCCTTCTGAAGGCAGGTTGTGAAGCCATTTCCCAGCACTCTTTAACACTGAAATGTTCATTCCTCAACTCCAGAGCATGCTGAAATTGCACGAAAGAGCAAACCTTGCAATTGCAGAGTTCAGTGATGTGAGGTTCATGTAACCAAGTTGTGCATATTACTTATTAAAGATAACCATTTTGGACTCTAAATTCACCGTAATCTGGCATTCACCATTTAGTTTCAACAGGAAAATTCTAGAGATCATAAACACCACAATTATTTGATGCTCTTACTGTGCAATACAGGAAGCTGAAATCACACTCAATGGTACTAATATTTGCCTCACACTTTTCAAGAACAAAATGAATTTGCAAGCATCTCTAAAAGCAAACTCTCAAGTGCAGCACAGACAAAAGTAACATCCATCTAAATAGTAAAGGTTTATTAATTACCTTTAATTAGGAAGGCCTTGTCTTCATCAACATCAGTAACAGTTGAAATGGTTTCTCACACAAGAGGCATGAGGCTCCTCAGTTGAGGGCAGCCTGCAAAGCAACAAAAAACTTTTAGAACCTGGAGCACTGACACCTGATTAACCTTATTCTGCTATATTTTGTGCTTGACTTCACAACCACATCCTACTCTTTCTATTAATCTTTCTAAATTTTTTAATATTTAACCCACTTACTGGTCTCCTGAGATAAATTTTTAAAATACATTCATGGAGAAAAAAAAAAAAAAAAGTTCACCTTCAAGTTCCCACCTGAAGGTGATTTGTTTGAAATAGCCTAAGCTACAGGAGGCTGCATCAGAGAGGAGGCGAAAGACAGTGATTGATCACCACAGGTTGTCTGCTGAACTATGCAGTCATCACACAGCAGCCTTTCCACACAGCAGGGATTCAATGAGTGTTCACCCATGTCAGCTATGCAGTACTTACCTTGTAACATTTAATAGTTTAATCTCCCTGCAACATTGTGCCTGCAACAACAGAAAACCAAATCAGATCCCTTCAGCCTCGGTGCCCAAGCCCACAGCCCCTGCAGGGAGATCCCAAGAGGCAGATACATCAGATAGGGGCGAAGTATGTGTTCATCACAGGATATTCTGCTGAACTATGCAGTCATCACTGTATCTGCTTTGGAATCGCAGTCCCAAGCAATCGCCTCTTGTGACTGCTTTGATAAGGAAATTTTCCCAATTACAACAAGTATTTAGAAGTTTGAATACTAGCAAGTATAAACTGTTTCTGGTCTTAGTGGAAATGAATTCTAAAACACGTGCCATTTTTCTTACTGCAGTGTTTTAACAGCTCTGTGGAAGAAGCCTTACATTAAATATGTATTTCTTACCAGGTGATGATGCTGCTTTTCCATCTCTCTGAAGTTCAGGATTCAAATCCTAGAAGTAAAATATCTGTGAACAGTATATTCAGCAGTGAAAGCATCAAAGGAAATTTCAAGTTGCTGTGCCTCAGAAAACTGTAATGGTGGTAAAAGTTATCATCACTCTCTTGGTCAAGAGTAGCAAATAAGTGTCATCACTGCGGCACCAGAGGGATAGCTTTACTCAAGGAATTAAGCTGTCTTCTGGTCTCATCAGAGCAGAAGATGCTCTCTAGACAAACACTAAGCACAAATTTATATTGTCAAGTATCTTTTTTTACCTTGGGAAGAAGTAGCTTTAGGTCTCCACATCTGGGGGGCAGATCTGAAAGAGACAGAAGAGTTGGAGATGTTTGCAGAACAAGGGAGCTTCTCTGGCAATCACATCAGAAAGCCTCAGCATGGAGTTTTCAGAAATCACTTCTGTCCACTACTCTTATACTGAAACCATCATAGGCTTTGAGATTTACTCAGCATCAATCCCCATAGTTTTCCCAGCAGAAAAGTGAGGCCTGCCCAAGACACTACAGGCAATGCCTGAATTACAACTGCTGACACTAACTCCATGATACAGCAGTACTCCAGTCTAACTGGTGTACACAAACCCAGAATTGTTAATTTTAACTCTGTATTTCAAAAGCAGTTATTTACCTGTGCTGAAGCCACAGGAAGGAGGAGTGTAGCTGATATACGTTTATCTGAAAACAAGAAAGCAGGTATGTTTTTCTTCTTCCAAGAAAGATGCAATACTCACAAATATTTTGAAAAATCCAAGCAACACTCAAAATACTTGGAGTCTTACGATTTCCCCTGATGCTATTTCAATTTTGGCTCTTTAAAGGGTTGAGGCCACAAGAAAGAATTGCTTTTATTTATCTTTAAGCAAGATGTAATTACTAATTACTTTGTTTTCTGTAACATCAATTCTGGTGTACTACCACTGGCCTTAAGGGCCCAGTCGTGTCTCAGCCTTCCCGGATGGGTAAGGCCATTACAAGTATTCCACGCCCAGCTCAGATACGTTGGCATTCATCACCCTCTCAGATGTCCCTACCAACAGAGTTCTCATCACGTGCTGAGCATATGGAAGTGAAGTGAGCCGATCCTCTCTACACGTGCTGAGTCAGGACTCACAAGGACACGGAGCCCAACCCTGCACGGGTCTAGGGCCGAGCGTGGCCGCAGGTGCCTGAGAGCACAGTGCAAACGCGTCCCTAACCCTCCTACACTGCCCGCACACCCCAGCTCTGCGGGGACCCCCAATCCTTCCATAACGCTACTGCTGCTTTCTGCACAACGCTTCGCATTTATCTGCAAAAACAAGCTCCTTAAAGCGCAGTGAACGCACAAAACCCGGAGACCCAGCGCTTGTATTCACAGCGGGCGCATGACCCCACGTGCTCCACGGCCCCATCCTACACGCAGCACACCGGCAGGCCAGAGCTCGTAACTCAACGCCTGAGGGATTTCCCGGAGCCGCGTTGGGCCCCGCAGGATCCGCCCTGTACATCCCCAGGGCCGCCATGAGGCAAACTCCCGGCGCTCTAGGCCGCGGGCCAGGCCCGGCCGCGCAATCCACGTCAATCCTCCCTCGTCACGTCCCATCGGCGACCGGCCCGCGCCCGCGGGACCCCAGGCCGCCCCCCGGAGCGGCAGCACCGCGCCCCGAGCGCGGAATCGCCCCCACTCACCGGCGGCGCCGCGCGAGGGACACCCACCCCTCATGGCGGCGGGAGCGGAAAAGGGAGCGCGACCCGTGCCCGCGCCTTATATAGCGCAGGTCACGTGGCGCGGCCTCGGCCACGCCCACCGAGCCGCGGTCGGCGGGCAGGGGCGGGGCGGGGCGCACGGTCCGCACGGCGTTTCCTTCCGGGGCGCGGCCCGCGCTGGCGCGTTTCGGTTCCGGGCCGGCGCGGCGGGCCCTTCCCACCCCCGGCAGGTGAGGCCGGGCCGGGCCGGGCCGAGCGGGGCGGGGCGGGCGGGGCCGGGGCGCGGAGCGGCGAGCCGGGGCTGCCCGCGGCGGGGGCAGGGGGGTGGTCCCGACCGCCCTCGCAGCCCGGTCCGGGGCGCGGCGCGGCTGTCACGGTGAGGAGCAGCCGCGGGCCCCGCCGGAGGGCTCCGGGGGCGCGGAGACAGCGGAGCCAGCGGAGCCAGCCGGCTCTGAGGGCTCTGCCGGCTCTGAGGGCTCTGCCGGCTCTGAGGGCTCTGCCGGCTCTGAGGGCTCTGAGAGCAGGGGCTGCGGCGGGCTGGGCACGGGCCAGAAGCCGCCCCGCTGCCTCGGCTCAGAGTTACGCTCGGGTTCGGAGTTGTTGCAGTCCCGTTGGAATGTGCGAGCAGCCACATAGGCGTGTTGGGAAGAAATCGTTACCTGTGAGGGTGGTGACGCCCGGCACAGAGAAGCTGTGGCTGCCCCTGCATCTCTGGCAGTGTCCAAGGCCAGGCTGGACAGGGCTTGGAGCAAGCTGAGACAGTGGAAGGTGTCCCTGCCCACGGCAGAGGGTGAAACGGGATGAGCTTTAAGGTCCCTTCCGACCTCAACCATTCTAGGATTCTGAGAATGTCTCTCTGGGACCAGGACAGGACCCATGGAATGGCTGGAGTTTTGTCAGGGGAGTTTTAGTCTGGATGTCAGGGAAAGGTTCTTCCCCAGAGGGTGCTGGGCACTTCCCGGGGAATGGGCACAGCCCCAAGGCTGCCAGAGCTCCAGGAGGGTTTGGACAACGCTGTCAGGCACAGGGTGGGGTTGTTGGGCTGTCTGTGGAGAGCCAGGAGTTGGACTCAGTGGTCCTTGTGGGTCTCTTCCAGCTCGGGATAATCTGTAAGATTTACCATGAACTTGCCCAGTCATGGTAAATCTCGACCCAAAAGCTGAGAGTTTTCAGTGCAGCTTCCAGGGTGACATTATATTATCTGCTGGGTGGTCTGTCTCTGTTTCTTACCTAAAGGATCAAGAATTCCACCCGCTCCTGGTAGCTGCCTCACGGGCTGGAAGGCCCGTGAGATAAGGGAAGTCTGAGTCTCAGCTGGTGACACTTGAAATGGCATTACAAACAGTAGTGTCTGTGTGTGCCTGTGCTGACTCAGCTCAGCCTGCCTGTAAGGGTGGCTGGAGGTGATGCCAGAGACAAGTCAGGATGTCATTGCCCTGTGGCTGAGGTGCAGAAGCTGACTAGAGGTTCCCTTACCCAGAGGGGCAGAAATCAGCCTCTGACAGGGCAGTTTGAACCAAAAGGCAGATTCCCTCTCCCCAGCCTCTGAGTGGCTGATAAGATGCAGGTTCCTCGACACTGGGGTGAGCAGAGCTCTGTGGGTTATAAAGAGTAGATGGATTTTCCCAGCCCTCAGAGCAGGAGCTCACAGATGTTTGTTGGGCTCTCTGGGGAGCAGCTGCCTTCTGACCACAGCCATACCCAGCCATGCTCAGCAGTGAAGGTCTGATGATGTTTTTTCCCCTTCTCTTTCGGTATATCCCAAGCCCAGCCTCTGCCTCCCTTTTGCCTCCCTGGGTGCTCGTGGCCTTGGCAGGGGTGTTTCACCCTTGCCTTCCTTGAGAGTGTACTCTGAGGCTTGTTGTTTTAGGAACAGCTGTTTTGGGAAGATGGTGAGCTAATCCTGCTGCTAGATCCTCCAGCAGAACCAAGAATGACAAAGCTTGATGTTCATAACTGCTCTTGGGAGAGCCCAATTCCTCTGCACTTCATTTTTTCTTTCTTTTTACCTCCTAAAGGGGAAGGGGGCAGCAAGTTTTCTTCTTACTACTTCAGAAGAAAAAAACGAAGGCAGCACCCCCATTTCCTTCCCACTGCATGTAACTCACAGCACTCCAGGTAAGATGTTGGGTTTTCTATTTCCCCTTGTTCTGTGCAGTTGATGTTCTGCTCCCAATGCTGTGTTGACACAGACCTGTGTGCACTGTGGTTTCCTGATTTTTGTGGGATTTGTTGCTTTCTCCAAAAGATAGGGAAGGACATGGAGCAGTTGGAGCGAGTCCGGAGGAGACACCAAGATGATCAGAGAGATGGAGAAGCTCTGCTGTGAGGGAAGGCTGAGAGAATTAGGGTCGTTCAGCCTGGTGAAGAGAAGCTTCAGGGTGACCTAATTGTGGCCTCCAGTACCTGAAGGAGCTGACAGGAAAGACAGAGAAAGACTCTGGACAAGGGATGGTGTGACAGGGTGAGGGGGAATGGCTTCCCACTGGCAGAGAGTAGGTTTAGATTGGGTATTGGGAAGAAATTGTTACCTGTGAGGGTGGTGAGGTTCTGCCACGGGCTGCCCAGAGAAGCTGTGGCTGCCCCTGGATCCCTGGCAGTGTCCAAGGCCAGATTTGGAGCAAGCTGGGATAGTGGGAGGTGTCCCTGCCCATGGCAGGGGGTGGAACAGGATGGGCTTTAAGGTCCCTTCCAACCCAAACCATTCTGTGATTCTGACAGGGGAAGGAGGGAAGAAGCCCAAAGACCTGGCACTGTTCAGCTGTACCTTGTGAAGCTTTGTGCACTCCCACCTGACTTCCCTAGGGACACACAGCCATCCTGCCACTCAGAAACCCCTTAGCACACCTCCACAAGATTGACAGGCTGTCCTGCAGCTTCATGTTTAGTAACTGGGTTTGCCAAGTTTGCACAAAGCCTGTTTGGGCATATGGACATGTGCTACGCTGCAACATTCATAAATTCCACATAAAAAGTCCTCCAAAGGCAGACGTGCTCTTCGTTTGCCAGTTCCTTTGATTCAGAGATTCCTCAGAGTGGGCACTGTGAGCCTTGGTATTCCCAGACTGCTTGAAATGGCTTTGACATCTGCAGAGCTCTGCTCAGTCCGCACTTCAGATGCTATCTGGCTTGGAAGCTGCTTATGCTATCAGTGGACTTTAACAAGCTTAATTACTTTATTTTTTTCTTTTTCTTTTTTTTTTTTTTTTTTGATGAGTTTACATCTCATTTTCATTCATTCCAAATTTTTACCATATATGGTCATGGCTTCTTTTCAAACTTTGCCAAAATGAAGTGTGATGATGCTGATGATGTGGTGGTGCATCCCCCAGTCCCCCTCCCTGCCCCTGCTCTGAGATCTCCTGATAAGCATTGCTCTGAGTGGTGAAGGGTCCCCCAACTGCACCAGCTGGGCAGTGAGATGCTCCCTGAGCCTGCCAGGAACTCTTGTGTGATAGAGATGGGAACAACTAGGAACATCCCAGCTGAGGTGGGGAAAATCCCATTATCGCTCTACTTGGGAAAGAGTCCAGGAGTTACTGACCTAGGGCATGGCCAGGATGGGGAATTAGTGACAACCAATGTGAAGTCTCTTGGGACCCTACAAAAGGTGATCCTGAGTGAGGCCCTCTGAGCTCTCCTGGGCCACAGCTTTTTTTTTTCTCTCTAATGTCATATATTTTCTGGCATGTGTCAGAAGTGCCACGTATGATAGGTATCTCAGGATAACAAGGCACTTAGGATGCCTTGAGGTCAGATATGTGCTGACCAACTTTTCAAAAGTCTCAGGAGGCTTTAGGTCCCAGTGTCTCCTTCCCAGTCCCTGTTTAACAAAGGAGCTTTCCCTATTACTTCCTCTTTTCAAGATGCTTAGAAGGTACAAGTGGTGAGAATTTTAATCCATTATGCAATCAGGTGCCTATTTTTAATACCTGTGCCATTTTTAATGTTCTTTTTACATGCAGATTTTATTGAGGCTGGCAGAGCAAAGTGTTTCAGGCTAAAGCCACAGGGAGCGGGGGTCTGTTGGGGACTGGTTTAATAGAACTCTTGTGCAGGGGGATGCATAACATGGAGAGATCAGAGAGATTTTGGGATGTTTTTTTAAGCAATCTCAAACACACTCATTCATAACAGAGCTGCTGCCAGGTGTGTGGCAGTTCAGTGGGTGAGGAAGGTCTCTAAAAACTCCAGTGTTTCAAAATGTGTGGAAGCAGGTGAAACAAGTTCTAATTTCAAATGATTGGCTCTGCCAATGATGGGATCTTTTTCCCCTTTTCCAGCAGAGTGCACCTGCAGCTGGGACAGCCATGGAGAAGAGTGGGAACATTCAGCTGGAGATTCCTAATTTCAGTAACTCTGTCCTGAGCCACCTGAACCAGCTGCGCATGCAGGGTCGCCTGTGTGACATCGTGGTCAACGTGCAGGGCCAGGCTTTCCGTGCGCACAAGGTGGTGCTGGCTGCCAGCTCGCCCTACTTCCGTGACCACATGTCCCTGAACGAGATGAGCACCGTGTCCATCTCCGTCATCAAGAACCCTTCTGTTTTCGAGCAGCTCCTCTCCTTCTGCTACACTGGCAGGATATGTCTGCAGCTGGCTGACATCATCAGTTACCTGACAGCTGCCAGTTTCTTGCAGATGCAGCACATCATAGACAAATGCACGCAGATACTCGAGGGGATTCATTTCAAAATTAATGTGGCGGAGGTGGAAGCGGAATTGAGCCAGACGAGGACGAAGCATCAGGAGAGACCTCCCGAGTCTCACCGGGCGACACCAAATCTGAACCGTTCCCTGAGCCCACGTCACAACACCCCCAAGGGGAGCCGCCTGGGCCAGGTTAGCACAGTGCTGGACATCCGGGAGCTCAGCCCACCCGAGGAGTCCACCAGCCCCCAGATAATCGAGCAGAGTTCCGATGTGGAAGGCAGGGAGCCCATCCTGCGGATTAACAGGGCAGGACAGTGGTACGTTGAGACGGGCATGGGAGAGCGCGGGGCGCAGAACGACGAGGAAGTGCGGGTGCTGGGAGGAGTGCGCATTAAGACGGAAAACCTGGAGGAGTGGCTGGGGGCAGAGCACCAACCCTCGGGAGAAGATGGGAGCAGCGCCGAGGAGGTCACGGCCATGGTGATCGACACCACGGGCCACGGATCGCTGGGCCAGGAGGCTTTTGCCTTAGCCTCCTCTGGAGCCAAAGTGGCCAGGCCAACCAGCAGCGAGATCGACAGGTGGGTTTTCTTAAACTTAATTATTCACCTTGGCTGTAAGAGGAGGTTATGCAAGGTTCTGACCTGGCTGGGTCAGTCGCTTTGAAACATTTCCTCTTTCTATTTCCTTTGGCCATCTTAAGCATAAGAGTGAAAGGGTTTTTACCTGGTGCTAAGAAGTGTATCCAGTTTGGGTAATAGTATTTTGGTTGGGTGGTGATCAGACCAGGATCTCCAGGTACAGGCTAGCTTGGCAAATTACTTAATTAGCTCTTAGATGCTGCAATCTCTACCTCTCAGTGTTTCAGCTGAGGTGAGATGTTTTTTTTTTAAAGAAGATGTTCAGTTCAGCCTCAGTAGATACTGGACTCAGCATTTGGATTAATGAGGTCATATACAATATGTGTTACATATTTCCATTGCACTGGTGCCTTCTGGCCCAGAGATCTGGGGATGGTTCTGGCTGAGAAACAAGCCAGACACCAGCTGTAGGTCAAGGTCTTCCCAGTGATGCATGACAGCAGTGGGCCCTGGGTTTACATCTTCTGAGGCAGTTGAAATGGGGAACCCGCTGGCCTCCACTGTTGTTTTGATTTATATGAGAGAGCAGAAAGTCTTTTTTGAAAATGAGTGGTGAAATCTGCTGTGTTTGGATTCTCCATCCATCTTCTCCTCCGCTTCAGCATTTGCTTTCTTGCCCTAGGCTCAGGCCAGAGAGTGGATTTGATAAAGGGCAGGTCTGTTTTATTTGGGAGGGGGGTTGTAGTTCCAGGGTTTCCCTTCACATCTGCCTCTCTTCTAGCTCAGTCCCATGGGGAAGCAGCTACCTGGAAGCAGGGGATATTCTGTCACTTGTCACTTAATAAATCAATCAGTGGGAACAATCTTGAGCTGGCCTTTGGAGAGCGATGTTTTCCTACTTCCTTAGCCCTTTTCCTTGGATCAGCTAGTCTCTAGTATCTCTTTTGGCACTGCAGTCTGTATGCACTGTGTCCCACCTCTAGTCCATCACATCCCTTATGTTTCACACTGGGAATGGAGGAGTTGGGTGCTGGAGGAGAGATGTCCTCTGAGAAATGGTTTCTGTCCTGAGTCACCAGGCCCATATTGGTTTATTCATGATAGCATCCCCTCTCTATTGCTGAACTGGAAGCCAAATGACTCAGTTTTATTTTACAGATGTTTAGACTGAAACCATAGACTGGTATAATCTGGTATTTCCTTTATACTTGCACTGTTCCACTTCCAGCGTGTTAGCTGATGAGGATGAAGAGATGCTATATAGATGCCTCTATTGCTCACTCATTGCTCTAAACACTGTAGTGACCTGATGCCCATTAAAAATTCCATTTCCACTCCTCCTCACCCCACAGATTTAGCCCTTCTGGCAGCATGGTTGCTGTGACTGAGCGGTACAGATCGAAAAGTGAGTCTCCCGGGCGGATGGATGAGCCTAAGCAGCCCAGTTCCCAGGTAGGCAGACCAAGATGTTTGCAAGTAGATGTTGGTTTGAAGGTGAAGGGGACTTCGTTGTGATGAAGTGTATTGTGTAAAATATATTTTCTATTTGCAAGCAATAATGTGTGTGATACAAGGACCTTTTACTTTGGCAAAGGATCTACTTGCTCACAGGAGAACATGTGCTGGGCAAGTACGATTTAAAATGGATTCTGGCTGTTGTTTGGGATTTTGGCCAGATACCTGGAAAACACAAGGAGTTTCTCTTGTTGTTTGAGGGCATAAATATTCATCCTTATTTTGGGCAGGCCACCAACTCCTGAGGAGAAGCCCCATTTGCCTGCAGAGCTGGATCTGCCCTCAAACACTGGCAGCAAATGCCTGAGCAGAGGGAGGAGGTGTGGCTTGGCTTCTGTGGAAGATGGGTGACAACAGCTGAATCTTTCTATGCCGGTACCAAGACCATTCCCAAAAGCCCTCCAGGCACTACACCAATAAACCTTTTGGGGTGGAGTGTCAAAGAGCTGTGGAGTTTTAGAGAGGCCTCTGTCTCTTCTCCAAGGGACTTGTGTTGCACAGCAGGCTTTGCAACATAAAGGAGCTCTGAAGTCTCTGCTTTCTCAGGCACAGTTTTGGGGTAGGAGGGAGAGATGCACAGAAATGGAAGGGCAGTGGGCTGTAGAGTGCAGCAAAGTGGGACACGGCAGCAATGCCTGTGCCTTATCATTTTGGTCTAATTTAGTTGCATCCAGATAGAGTCACAGTGCCACTGTAGTGCAGGCATGTCAGCCAACACAGTGCAGAAAGACTCTTGTGAGCCTGACAGGTAGAGAATGTGTCAGTGTGTAAACAAAAGACTTGGCTGGAGGTGGGGAAGGAGATACTAGGCTGCTTTGCTCTTGAGTAAGACCAAGTGAAGCAAGGGGGAGAAGACTGTGATTGCTGTCTGCTGACTTTGTTAGACATTTCCATAAAATGACAGATACCTTTTTGTTCCTGTTTTGCAAAGCTTTATTTTGTGTCCTCAGAAGACATTGCAAAAATTTCAGGTCAAACCAACCCTCTAGGGGAGATGTGACATACTAAGCAATTTTAGCTCTGCCTACAGAAAAGGTACTCATTCCTCTGTTGTGAGACATCCTCAAACATGAAACCTTAGGCTTTACACACCATGGGGAAGTATCATCACCTTCCACTCTCCTGGCATTGTGATATCCATACTAAAATAGCCTGCCTGTGATCCTTGTCCAGTGGCACTGGTAGAATGGAAAGGAAACCAGAGCTTTGTGTATCTCCTTTATTCCTCAACAGCTTCCCCATGCCTCTACAGCTGGATTCAGCAGCACCTGGCACAGTACACATGCTCATGCCTGTAGAGCCCTGGCTTGCAGAGGAGATGCCCTTCTGCTGGTAGTGTCTCCACATGTGGCACCGCTGGGAAGCAGCACTGGGGGACTAAACAGTGCATCTCCAGCACAGAAGCTTTCTGGAGTCCGTGTGTTTCTGCTCAGTCTGAGTAGGATGGCCAGAAGTGTCTGTCCTGAGAGCAGGCTTGTGGTCCAGGTTGCTCTCGGCTGTTCGTCTGTGTGACTTGAGAAAATGCAGAGGAGTCCTTGCTGTGCAAGCTGGGTCAGGCACATCTTGCCTGGGGCCGGGGTTGCGATGGATTACACAGCCAGGCAGGCAAACGTGACTCGTTGTAAAACGAACTCTAAGTGACATCTGAATAAGTACCTGTATAAAATGACACCTGAAGAACTTTCAGATATGATTTTGTGGTTTGCTCCTTTTTGTTTTACTGCAAGCTCATTAATCGGCGGGTTTTTTTTGACTTGTAGTAAGGAAAACAGAAGGTGATACACCCAAGTCTTTTAATTAAACTGGCACAAATTTTTTAGAAAGTAACAATTATTGACATGTGGTCCACAACTGAATTGGTGGCCAAGTGCCCTTGTGTTAAGGCTTCACCAGATCCAGGGAATGGCTTGGCAAAAGGGGCCTTTGCAGCAGTGGTTTCTAATTGATTGCTCATTTGTCTTCAGCCCTAGGGCCCCAGTTAAGCACTTAAATGTGTGCTTGAGGTTGCAGACATTAGTGCTGCTGATTTTGAGGTTTGGCACATGCTTTACTGGCTGGACCTGGGCCTGATCTTCTCTGCAACTTGTTTTAGGCTGCTTGTTATTTAAATCTATGCCATTTCCTTGGCAGGGGGAGGAATCAGCCATGCTGGGAGTGAGCGGTTACGTGGAGTATCTGCGGGAGCAGGAGGTTTCAGAGCGCTGGTTCCGGTACAACCCACGGCTCACGTGTATTTACTGCGCCAAATCCTTCAACCAGAAGGGCAGCCTGGACCGGCACATGCGGCTCCACATGGGCATCACACCTTTCGTGTGCCGCATGTGTGGGAAGAAGTACACCCGTAAGGATCAGCTGGAATATCACATCCGCAAGCACACGGGCAACAAGCCCTTCCACTGCCACGTGTGCGGCAAAAGCTTCCCTTTCCAGGCCATCCTCAACCAGCACTTTCGCAAGAACCACCCCGGCTGCCTGCCCCTGGAGGGGCCGCACAGCATCTCCCCTGAGACCACCGTCACGTCCCGGGGGCAGGCAGAGGAGGAATCCCCCCCGCAGGAGGAGGCCGTGGCAGTGGGGGAGACGGCACAGGGATCTGTGTCCACAACCGGGCCGGATTGAAGCGCGGCTCTGGAGTCCCAGGAGAGAGGACCGTCTTCCCATTCCTGGCTCTGAAGAGTCAGCACCAACCCGGCAGGCTGGTACTGTAATTAGTGCAATGCCACCACTGAACAGAAAGAAGCTCCCAAGATGTTGCCAAAATAGAAAAATCTCTCTCTTTCTCTCTCTCTCTCTCACACACCCACACACACACCCATAGAGTGTTAAATGTTTTTCTCCCTTATTCCTCCTCTTCTTGGAGAAAAACAGAACAACTGTGTCAATCAACTTCTTATTCAGGGATCGACAGGATTTTAAATTTTTTTACTGTTCTGTAGAGATCTGGGACAAGCAGTCATTTGTATTTCTGGACAGCGCTGTGGCCCAGCAGGGCGTCCCGCCGGCAGTGCCGGGTTCAGCCACAGAGCCATATCCACTGCTCCCGCTCGAGGGGAGAGCAGGGGCAAGGGGCCGTTGCCTTTCTCCCTTCCCCAGGTAGTTGCCACAGCAAAGAAAACAAAAATACTGTCCTGGTGGAACCTGCCTTGCCCGAGCGTATTTATCCCTGTCCTATTTTGGTGTGTCTCTTTATGTTTTTATTTAAACTGTTATTTTAGGGCTTTGGGCTTGCCCGTTCCAGGCATGCAGCCCTGGTGCCCCTTGTTAAAGTGGGCACAGCTACAAAGTGGTATTCTAGAGGTCAGCAAAATGTGAAGGAAGTACTTCAGCTACTGAGAGTGGAATTTAGCAGCTGTGAGGTTTGCATGAGACTCTGACGCACTGAGAGAAGGGCTGGAGGGGTCTTCTAGAGGAGGTTGTCCTCTGCTGGTGCTGATCTGGAGAGCTCAGAGCACTCTGAGGTCCTGGCTGGAGCGCTGCCGTGCTTCAGGTGGTGCCAAGGATTAGGAAGAGATTTTCTGGAGCTGCTGAATTGTGGAGTTAGAGGCTGGCTACCAAAGTCCTTTTTCACCCCTGCTCCCCCCTCGACACACACTTGATCTTTTAGAACAGCAATACGGGATATGGGAATACTGCAATGCTGTTGTCACAGCCGAGCAATCGCAGGTGGTTGCTTTTAAACCTGTTTCTACAAACTAGTTTGATAACTTTTTTTATCAATGAAACACAAAAAGAAAAGAGAACCCTACTCTATTTCCTTATAACAGTTCAGGAGACTTAAAAGTGAACAGTTCCTAGAGCAATCACAACTCTGTCCCCTTGCATGGACTTAACATTTTTGTATTCTGAGTAGCTCTGATGTTTAGAGCAAGTTTAGCAAACCTGGAGAGACATGCCTGCGTGTGTATTGTAGGTGTTTGCACGAGCTTACATGGTTCATAACCAGAAAAGCATGGGACAGGCAGATAAGTGCAAATATCCTGACATCTTTTTTAAAAAAATATGCAATATTTTAAGAGTTTTCTCTAGTTCTGATGCCAAGTTGTTCATGATGAAGGGGGAGGAGTGAACAACAGGTTACGCGTATCAGGTTTGGTGAAGGAGTTCTCTTGAGGATGTATAAAGTGTATATGATGAGGAAGGGTGAAGTTCTGAACCTTAAGGTGATGGGAGGAACAAGGAGACATTGAAAAAGAAATACACTTCCTCTTGCTTCAGCAAGAAAGCTGGATGAGAGGTTAGAGCGGGGGCTTAGGCAGGAGACTGACCAAGTGACAATAAAGCTTGGCCTGCTGTCTGACTGCAGTTTTGGGCACATGGAAACATCTCCAGCCCTTGCTTTCCCCATCTGCAAATTGATACTTGGAATCATTTTCCTGCCCCTTTGGAGGGAATAATTTGGAGCAGAGTGATGTATTCTTGCCTTGATTTATAGATTTTTTTATGTGTGAGGGATCTCACTGTTCCTCCCATCTCTCTCTCAAAAAGAAATGTGGCTCTAATGTGGTTTTGTGTGTGGGAAAGGGCTCGGTGCCAGTATCATGTGTAACAGGGATGTGATCCTACAAGAGGAACCTTTGCAGGTGCTCTGAGCTGGGTACCTGCAAAGTACCATTTCATTGACCATTTCAAACAGGAAAACTGATTATTTCACCTCTGTTTTCCTTCTGTGCCTTCTTCCTCCTCTCCTGTCAAGGGCATCCATCACACAGGGAGTGATTTGGCCACCTAACCAGCTCCGTCAGGTTTCCTGGCAAAGGTCAAACATCACAGTACCAAAACAGTGAGGTGGCCAGAGAACAGTGGCAGAGGATGAGTGAGAGGGTGGCCAAGGTAGGTTTTGTTGCAATCAAGGTGCAGGGAGGAGTGGAGATGTGCTGCTTTAGTCATAGCTTTTGAAGTTACCAAAAATGAAAAAAAAAAAAAAAGTTAAAAACTTTGAAATCCTATCCGTTCACACTAGAGAGCATAAAAAGTTACTTTTAGTTGCTTAAAAGATTTTTAAGTGTTTTAAAATAGAAATTTTAAAAGAATACTACCAAACTATAAAAACATAAAATTATTTATATACATATATTATATAAAAATATAGTGGGAAAGTTTCCCTGCTAAGCTTGCTGTGAAGAGAAGGGTGAAGGTGCAGTAACTGCTACACAAGCAACATTTTTCTGAGACAGATGGCAACCGTAGTGAAGAAGGGCTGACATAAAATGGTGAATGCCTTTGTTCCCATGGCATAGCTGTGAGTTTCTTGAGCAGGTTTTTATTTTACTGTATCAATACTGTGAACGGAGAAGTATCCAAACAGTACAGGATGCCAACAGTGTGTCCTGTTTGCTGATTCACTACTTCAAGTGGCCTGGTGAAAACCATGAAATTAGTCCTTCATACCTTACTAGGCTGAAAACAAAGCTTGTGAAAGGTTTTTATTTTTTCCTCCTTTATGTTTGCTTTTCTTTTTGTTTTTGTTTTCTTTTTTTTTTTTTTTGTGCAGAGGTTGCCGCTGTATAAATTATCATTTCTGATTGCATGCAGAAGAGCCAATATTCTTGCCCAGGCCTCGTTAAGGTGAAGTTTATAGCTTGTAGCTAGAGTCAATATAAGGTATGGTAGTGGGAATCATTTTGATATTATTTCTGTACATTTAATGGATGTGTATGTATGTGTGGGAATCATGATGTCTAATATTTCTTGAACAGCGCTGAAACCAGTTCAGGCCCATCTGCACTAGACAGTGGAACCAGTTCTGAAGGAATCGTTACTGAACATTTCTTTCAAGGGTTGGCTTCCTGAGTGCAGATGAGACCAAGGTTCGAGAAAAAAGGGGTTGGAGGTCCTGTACGGTATGGAGAAAACCTCATGTGAATTTTCTGGCAGTGGTGTAGCTACTTTAGAGGTGCTTTCCCTAACAGAATGATACTGTGTCCTGTTGCCTCTGCGTTGGTGTGGCTCTTTACGGTTGCACCGAAGCTGTGGAGAATCAGATGCCAACTTTCCAAGTGTGAATGCTTCTGTGATGGGTTGAGGCACAGCTTTGCATTCCCACATCTAGCTGCATCTTGTTCTGCCAAAACTGTGATTTCAACTGTGATTTAAGGAGGATGTGAAGAGAACTCTCGTGTTTTAATACCTCTGTACGTAACATTTTTGTCTGCTTTAGAGTTAGGGCTTACTAACCCATTTGTTTTCTTGCCTCAGGCAACAGGGAGAACACACTCTGGTTTTACAGTTTGCTTTCTTGGAGGTGGACATATTTCTTAGTTCTTTGCTGTCAAAGAACTCACCTCCCAAATGTGAAGAGTTGTGGTTATCTCCTTAAGCCTGCAGCAAGCCCTGGTGCCAAGTGTCAGCCAAGTGACATGATGGTTGCCGTGGCTGTTCCCTGCTGCTGCCAGGTTACCTGTGAATAGCTGTGAAAATAGCAAGAATTGTGTTAATACTGTGTTGCTGCTTTGGAGAAAAGCTAAACCTCTTCGTCTCAGGAGGATGACTGATGTGAAGCTGGGAAAAAGAGAAGGCCAAAATGCAATGAAAGGATGTGAGAACAAATTGTGCTTTGTATTTCCAGCAGCTACAGAGGGATGAATGAGAGGCTTTGTGGAATGTGGATTTGTTGCAGGAGGCTGAGGACATGCTTAGAGCTAACTTAGTAAGATGCAGGAATAGCTCGGTGAGAGGCAGAGCAGCTAGTGCAAATGGGCAGTCCCTCCTTGTCCTCTCAGCATTATCCACCACCAGGTTCAATCATTGGACTTTCCTGCATCTTCTCTACAGTATTCTCGAGCTGTGACCTGTATAATTTGACTTTAGTTTGGGTGCTGGGAAGAACAGAAAGCATGTTGTGTCTCTGCTGCTGTTTTAAACCCAGAGAGGTCGGCAGCAACTGACCCCGTTCCCATCTGACAGCTATACAGAGCTGGAATAGCACTGGGAACAAGCTGAAAAGCATGGTGGGGCTGGCTCAGCACACAGGGCACAGAGCCAGGATTTCAGCTCTCTCTGAGCTCAAGGTTGAAATACATGGACTGGACAGCTCTCACTGCTTGTCCTGCTCTCATTTTGTGACAGCTCCCTGGCTGTGTTTCCATCCCACACCTCTGCAACAGGAATGTCACTTATCTGTGAGATGCACATTTCAGGAAGTGATTCCAAGCAGTCTGCTTTGGGATTAAAGTCCTGCCACTTTCGGGTGATTCAGCCCTAACAAGGCCTTTGCAAGAGCAGAGTTGTAGCTTTTATTTGCTGCTGACTTCATCTCTCCTGCAGAATCCAACATATAAATAGGAAGACAGCTGCAAAGGTGTAGCTGGTTAAACCGATTTGGGTGGAAGGTGGTCTCGGAGGTAGATAGGATCATGCATCTTGAAAACCAACAAAAACCAGCACTTAAAATTATTTAAACTTTACCAAACTCTCCTCTTCCATCTATGACATGCCTGCCAATTTAGCCGTTTCACCATCCAAATGTTTCTGCAGATTAGTGACATCAAATGCTGTTCAGGCTATGCTGGAAATATTTTGGAGATGGGAGAAGTCCCTGCTCATTGCAAGACGGTTGGACTAGATGATCTCTAAAGGTCCCTTCCAAACATACTATTCTATAAGTTAAGAAGCTGTAATTCAAGGAGACTTTTTGCCAGGGTTTGGGCTCTGAGTTTTCCCTGGGAGCTGAGCCTGTGGCCAGGACTGCAGTTGGAAAGCCTGGGATCCACTGCCATAGCAAAATAATTGTAGTGAGCATTGCTCTGGTCACAAGGTGAGAGCCATGCACAGAGTTTTGATATCTGCAGTCAAAGGGCCTGAAGAGGAGCTCAGAATCCTTATTTTAATCATTGTCATTCAAAGGATATTTTAAAATAAAATACAAATGTATATGTATATATATGTTTGTAACCAAATAGAAGTTAGAACTATGCAAACAATACTGGCTGCTTCTTGAAACTAAAGTCTACCAGAACATTTTGGAATAGAGTAGATTTGGAGTAGACTTGCTGTGGAGTTTTTGTTTTGTTTTGTTTTATAACCAGTAAAAGGCAGCAGACCAAAGTTTTGCTGCAGTTACTCTTACTAGAAATGTAGGTTATTCCTAACCTGAAACCCATTCAAGTGGGTTATAAAATTATCTGAAGAGTCCTACCATCTCTAAAATATTTCCATCTGCTGAAAGGCTTTAGCTTGGCAAACATAAAAAAACACAGAGGCTGGGAATTAGGAGAGACTGAATGTAATGTTTGGACTGATGGAATCAAGAAAGGACTGGGAGCATTTTCTTTTGGATGTAGGATAGAGTTGGTTTCAAGGACTCTTTCTACGTGGGAAAATGTCCATTGCTGAGATGGAGGCAGTGATCAGAACATCCCCAGGATGAATTCTGGTTTTGATGGAGGTATTGGAAAGCTTCCTGCTGAATCTGATGGTACAAGAGTTTAGGCTGCTGGGAGAAATTCCACATGATTTCTGCCATTTCTTTGTGTCAGATCTGATCTTTGCTTTTAGGGTTAACTGCAATATATCTGTAACTTTCAGTGAGCTTTGGCTTTTTATTCCTGGAACTGTAGACAATTCAGGTTTCCCATAACATTATCCTCATCCCAACTGTGAACAAGTTACTACTGCTTCTTATAATTTATTGTCTTTCTGTTCCTGAATGTCTGTGTGATCCATCTGGTCACCAGCACCACCTTCCAGTGCTTCATTAGCTTTTATGCACAGGGAATTGTTGCAATGGATAAGTTGACCATGCTAGTTGGAAGAGTAGAAGCTTTTGGAGAATGAGTTTTGCTTCCTCTAGCTGTCATTAGGGAGTGCACACACACACACCTGTATATACATATATAGAAACAAATATAATGTGTTTCAGTATAAACTCATTTAGCATTATTCTTATTTAATTTATATTTTAATCTAGTTGTAAACCAAAGTATTACAGCTTGTGAAATGATGTCTCTTGGAAATAGGAGGAACCTTTTTTAGGTGGGAATTCTAAAAGGTCTTTGGTGACAAAAAGTAGATAGGAGTAAGACTTAAGAACTTGTGCTCCTGGGGAGTTGCAGCATTGAAAGGATTTGAAACTTGCTGAGTAAAGTTGGGTGGTGGGGCCTTCTGAAGGTGTTCTTCATGGTCCTTAAAAGTTTTGTTGTAAAACAAGGATGTTCTGGCAAAGCTAGAAATAAAGGGGAGAAAACAGAAAATCAGACTGTGACCTGGCACAGCCAGAGCTGGGGAGGAAGCCACAAAACCAGCCACTGATGTATTTAGTGTCTAATTTAAACTTTTAGGAAATGAGCCATTGCTATTTAGTGGTGTCTAGAAGTGGTTGGGGGTTTGTTAATAACTTCTGTGAAGGCACGTGTTCTGCTGTCACCAATGGGAAGAAATAATGGGTTCAAAGATAAGATCTTGCTGGTTTTTCTATGCCAGGGAATAATTACCTTTCCAAGGAATTAGCAAGTGCTAAGAACAAATTCACCTCTAACATGTCCCACAGTCTTGGCAGCGGCTCTGCTTCCTCTAGGGAGGAGGAAGACAGTTGAAATAAGGAGAGAGCTTACCTGCCTTCAGCCCTGGCTGGTGCTGGTGGCACTGGAACCACACAGGGGAATGGGTAGAAAGGTGGAACAGCAACAAAGCATCACTGGGAAGAGATAGTGCATGTATCTGGCATGCCATGGATGCTGTGGGCAGGGAAATGCTGGTGTAGAACCTGCACAGGGGCAGGAGCGTGCAGGAAATGCTGCTGCCCTGCGAGACAGGTGTCCAAAGGTGCCTGGCCTGGCCCATGACAGCTGAGCAGCACCAGTGTTTTCCTTGCTGGAGCTGTGAATAGTTAAGAAGGAAAAGGGATCAGTCCCCTGTGGGGGCAAGATTTGGTGTGAGCATTTCAAAAATGCCATTGGAAGGAGCTGAAGGGTGGGAAGTGAAGGGTGGAAAGGGCAGTACTAGACTTCAAAGTGCCATTTTCTGAGTTTTCTAGCAAGTGTTGAAGACTGAAGTTTGTTTCAAGCTCTTTCTCCTTTACTTATATCATTTTTCCTATTTAAACTCCACAGCTCAGGGGAGGGTGCAGAAAAGATGGAGCCAGACCCTTCCTGGAAGCACACGGTGGAAGGAGGAGCAGCAGTAGGCAGCAGTTTATGCAAGGGAAAATCAGGTTAGGTATAATCAGACATGACAAGCCATTATCTCACCATGAGTACAGTCAAACAGCATTGGATCAGGTTGTCCAGAGAGGCTGGGAAATCTCCATCATGGGAGAGTGCAGCCTCCAAGGTCCTGTTTCCATTAGACTGTGCCAAGCTGTATTTTTGTTACCTTTTTTTTTTAGTTTTATAATGTAAAATTGGCAGCTTTACTGGCCTTCCTAGTCTGTATCAGTTAAGCTTTTGAAACATGTTCAGGTATTTTTAAATACTGCTGTGTAAGTCTCTTGTTTAATCGGACATATTCTGATTTATTATTCTACTGCAGTTACCTAAGGCAGTACTTAAATCAGTGCATTAATTTTTTTGCAGACTTTCAATTTAGTTTTTGATAATGTACCTAACACCCTTCCCCTCAGATCTATGGTGAAATGGCTGCATTATTTTTATACTGCAGTGAGGCTTATTTATTTAAACCTTCCCATTACCTTTGCAGTCAGACCCAATATCATTCACTATGAAACTGTGAAACTAAGGAGAAATGAAAAATGAAGTTGGATTGATTCATTTACTGCTAGACAAAAAATACAGAAAGTAGCAGTAAAAAAAAAAAAAAAACAGTTTAAATTAGTTATTCAAATCACAGCATGGTTTGGGTTGGAAGGGACCTTAAAGCTCGTCTTATTCCAACCCCTCTGCCATGGGCAGGGATGTATTCTGCTAATTCCAATGGGAGTTACTGAGTCTGGGGCAGGGGGAGGAGTCACAAAACTAGTCTGAGAGAAACAGCTTTTAACTTGATGATGCCAATTAATTGGTTCCCCGTTTGGTCAAGTTTTAAAAGCTGTTTCTGAGTTACTGTGAGGCTTTTTATGAATCCTTCTCTGCCTGGTGACCAGCATTGGTAACTGAGCACAGCTCTTGCCTGCAAGAGGCCAGTGGGTGGAGGGTGGCAGCAGGGGGTGACACTAACAAGAAGTGGACAGTGGACAGTGCAATTCTTGGGCTGACAGATTGGATTTTGGGAAGGGGCATGAACCCCAGCCCCACTGTGGCTGTCCCCAGCCCCAGGGTGCGCTTTCAGTCGGTGTTTGCAGGGGCTGTTTACAGGGCAGCCTGGATCTCCGCCAGAGATGCAGGGAAGGAGGGTGTAGGTGGCATGCAGGCACTTTTCTGATGTGTTAGAAGATTTCCTAAGCTGGGGTTGTGCTGTTGGGGGAAGCACCCCAGGTGGGATTGAGAGTAGAATTTTGTCATACCCTTTGCTTAAGCCTAATTCCTTGGGCTCCCCTAAGGCACTGGTCTGGGCAGAAAGCTGACACCAGACAGCTCCCAGGGCTGTGCTGTCACGGGGCAAGTGCCAGTAAGGAATATTGGGAAGGGAGAGAGGAGTGGTGTTGTTCAAATAAGGCATGGTTCTTTTGTGTTGGTGGGTAACATGGCTGACATTTAGGACAGCCAAGAGTAATCCTGGGTGGCAAAACAGACTTTTCTGAAGAAGGTCTTTCAGAGGCTGAATGAGGAGGAGAATGGCATACACCTGTGTGTTCTTGCAGTAACATATTCCTCACCTCATGCCCCGCACTTGCAGGGAGAATTAGTGAAGGATAAGAAGACTGGATCAGATGGTAATTCGTGGAAATGGAGGTGAGGTATTCAAAGCACTGCTTTAATCTGAAAAGGGAAGGGAATGAATGCAGTTTTCCCAAGCCTCTAGTGTGTTGAACACTAGCTGAAGCTCCCATGAGCTGTGTCCCCATTGTCCCCAGAGCTCCCCTCGTTTCCCCGGTGTCACCCCACCTTTCCTGCACAACACTGTGAATATGATATCTGTAGCTCTTTCTAAAACTTTGGTTTTTTCCATTAAAACTGCTCAGAGCGGGAAATGCTGTCCTACTGCAGGAGCAGACATGATGACCCAAAACAGGGCCTGGATAGTTGAGTAGTGGGAGAGAGAATTTTAGGAGTTAACAAGGGAAGTGGCTTTGTATAGCAATTTGCTAATCAAATTTCATCTTGTAACACACTTAACTGACAATCAATTTCTAAAACACAAAAGCCTCTTAGAGGAAATAGTCAAGTATATCTTAACCAGAAAGATTTAACTGGGATAACTTAATAAAGAGCACAGGATTTTTTCCTCTTTTTTCTTCTTTTTTTTTTTTTTTTTTGAGCAATTACTCCAGAAATGGAGTCACATTAAGCAGCAGCGTATTCACAGGACAGTAACTACCTCTCTCTCTTGGAGTGCTGAGGTTACCACACTACACACTCTAGCAGCAAAGCTTTCACTTTAAAGAGATTTGTTTTCCTTACCTCTGTGTTTCAGAAATGCAAGTCTGCTTTGTAAAGTGACTCTAATGAAAATGGCATCTGGCAGGAGCAATGGGAGTCCCTTGCAGTCCACAGTCCTTCTTGGCCTCCAGTTCCTTACTGTGACCCTTTGCAGGTTGGCCATGGGGCTGTGACAGTTCAGGGGGACTTTGTCATCTCCCGTGTGCTGCATAACAGTGAACTGTCCCCTGAGCCAGCGCTGTAAAACACATTCCTGCACTGGGAAATCAGTTAATGGTGGGGAAGGTAAAGGAGAATCCATCTCCCTCCTGCCTCCAAGGCAGCAGTAAAAAAAAAAACAAAAACAAAACAAAAAAAAAGCAATAAGATAAAATACAAACACTTTTATATGTTGTTCATTAGTCAGCAGATCTGACTCTGCAGATTTATATATATATATATACACACATACAGAGAGCAAATCTCTCATGTGAAAAGGTGCCATTTTTTTTTCTAAACAGTCCCTTTCCAAACTAGAACAGCACTTTAAATAGGTTCCTCTTTAAAAAAAAAAAAAAAAAAATTAAAAAGCAAACCCTTTTCTGCCGCAATGCACTTTAACTCGTCAGACGAGTACAGCTGTGGCTGCTGGGGACACAGCTGTACGGGCAGGCAGCTCCTGGGCAGCCACAGCTCGGGGGGAGCAATGCTGCCACACCCTTGGGCATGGCAGCTCTACCTCCAGCAGCCCCCCACGCTGCCCGGAGCAGCCCCGCCGTGCCCAGGCACTGATGGGGCTGGTGGCTGGTAGGAGACTTTGGAATCTTTCAAGAGAAGCCCACCCTTGCCTGTCAAGAAGATTTAAACCCCATTTCTTAACATGTCAGAAGTTGCACCCAGTTACAACCCAGCTGGCGGCCCAGGGCTGAGCTGAGCTGAACAGCAAAGCCAGGAGAGAGCTGTTACTGGGGTTGTGGGCTTTTTCCATAACATGAATATGGAGCCCTCGTCAGTTCTGTTTGTTGGGTTTTTTTTCTTTTTTAATCCAAGTTTGTGTGTCCCACATTGATTCTGCTCTGAGCTGGTTTGCAGAGTAACCATTTGTAACAGAAATTGTGCTGTCACCTTCAACTAGTGACTATAAATCAAACCTTTTTAGGACAGGTGTCCTAACACTCAAGACTTACTTTCACAGTTAAGAAATTTCCTGCTGTACTAATTATTCTTTTTTTATTATTTTATTTTATTTCTGGTTGCAGTCCTTATTTCAAGAAAAAAAAAGTCAGTGTTCAGACTAGTCTGGAGTAGGCTGAAGAGTAAGCCTGCTGTAACTTATGGATATCAGACTGTTCTTCAGTGATTTTCCAAGCTGTTTCCAAACTGGCCCTCCATGGCTGCTTCTCTTTTCCTCTTCCAGCAGGCACTGGCAAACAGAAGCTCCATGGCCGTTGTGTCCAGGGACAGCCAGCGCTGCTGGAGGGGGAGGGCAGGGGTGGCAGGGGAACCAGAGTTGGGAAAGGGGGAAATAAAACCAAGGTAGAGGGGACTGTACAATTGCATTGAAAGCAGTTTAGCAAAAAGCGCTCTCGTTGGACAGCTTTAAGAACAATGTGAATGAGAACTTAGCAACTTGGGTAAGAATCTTGGAAAATTCTATAAATGTATACTTGAAATTCTGTTCGTATTAAACAAAATGCATTTTCTTCTTTCTTTTAACACTGTGTAAAAGAACATTATGCATGTGAGTGGTTTGAGAATTAAATGGTTTAATACTCAGATCCTTGTCTGTGTCTTATAGCTGACTGGTCCTTACCCAATGTGGATTTTCTGCCTGGTCCTGGCTGTGGGCAGCTCTACACTCTCCTAAGCTGAGCAGCCTGAGAGGTTGCACAGTGCCAGGCTACTGTTCCTGGCAACTCACATGGCTTCTGTCCTTTTTGGCTGAGTTTTGTCTCGCCTCCTCAGCAGGCTCAGTCCTTTTCAGTCTCCCCAGGAGGATCAAGCCATGTGCTCTTGCTGCAGGCCAAATTTTGGATGTTTTCCCAGCTGCCTATGGCAGGGGAAGCATTTTGGTTCAGTGCCATGCTAGGGAGGCCCAGGCACTGCCTCAGCCCTCCTCTTTCACCAGTGTCCACCTCCACAGCCCGGAGCACAGCTGAAAAAGGCGGTGATTACAGGAGGTTGCGTGTCTCTCAATGACGTTCACAGGCAGGAGATGGGATCCAGCAAGAAAAGCCACAGTGGTAATTGCCAGAGGAGGGCAGGGAGAGGAAGAGCTGCTTTCTGACCTCTTTGTTACTTTCTAAATGCTTCCCCTTTTCTCCCAGGGTCCCAGCTCGTCTTCTTTCTAAGGAACTGCTCCAGGGGAGCATGTACCTAAAGGAGCCCCTGAAGGACACCCCTCAGATGTGTACGGTTTGCCATGGTCTGTGGGACAATGGAGGTGGCTCTCCATGTCCCAGTCACACACTGCTTGCACAGATGCTCAAACAATCCTGCTAGGAACAGGAAAGAGTCAAAACCCTGATAGCTTCCAACACTAGAGGCCCAGTGACCAAAGATCTGACATACCAGCTTTATCCAAGTTAACTCCCTCACTGCTTGGCCACTCTAGCAGTTCCTGCCAAGAGAAGCCTTTACAAAGGTGGATAGTTTGCTGGTCCTACAAAATCCAGAGTAAATGGTCCACTGGGGAGTGCAACCCACTATCTGCACACACCACTTCCATCACCTCCTGAGGACAGAAACTGTGCTTTCAGCTCCTGGAGTAAACTTGCAGGTGAAATAATTAATTTTTATCAGAGCTACAAGTACCTGTTAGCTTACCTGGGCACTATTGTGGTTCATGGGCACTGCTGCTACAGTAACTGTTAGATGAAATGTTAGCATTAAGAAGAGTTTCAAAGCCTTGGCTACGCCAGGCTGTCACTAGTGGCTCCCAGCACTTGGGCACACAGGACACACCAGAGCTGCTGGGAAGCAGGGTACAGCTGTTTGGCAGCTCTTCCACCCACATGGAGCTGCAGAAGGGTGTTCTTAGCCCAGCCAGCACAAGCCTTATGGCTGCTGCTGTTCCACTCACCTTTGTGGTGTGGAGCCCCATTTGCTGGAAAATAATTTAAATAAGTCTAGGAAGTGGCTCAGTGTAAGCTGTGCATTCAGAGAGCAGTCTGTTACATACAGATCTATAGGTTTTAATGAACCAAGTGATCAGAGTTACAGAGGGTTGGGCACAGGAAGGACAGCAATGCTGGACTTGGGTGCCACAAAAATACTGGTGCCAGATGAAATTCAGCTTTCCTTGCCACGAAGGACAGGACAGGTGAGGTGACCTATGAGCCCCCTCACCTGACATGGCAGGGAGGAGCAGGGACAGCCCAGCTGGATGCAGTCCCTCCATGCAGCTGGCACCAACGAGCAAGACCAACCAGCCCAGGAGCAGCCCATGCTTTGTGGCAATACCCCACCTCTCCTTTTCCTGAGGCAGAAGAGGGAGAAGTGAGGCCCTAGCAGCCCCTTTAGGAGCAAGGATCAGCTATCCTGCCCATGAAGATGATGGTGTTGAGGGCAGCTTCCCGGATAAAAAGCAGGAAGGGCCTGTTGGCATTGAAGATTTTTCTGTTCATAGGGAAGGAACGGCCAGAGATGGTAACAGCTGTAGCAGCTGAGGCCTCACTGCCTTCTTCATTCACCTGCCAGCCAAGAGACAAGATGGAATTAAAATACAGATATTACGCAGCATGGAGAGGGCTCACCCTCCTCCTCCTCCACAGAACAAGGAGGGAACGGAACAGAACTGGGAGAGCCAGCCTCCCTCCAAAGCTCCAGACTCACTGATAAGTGAACACTGTAGGTTCAGAGCTATTTTTTTCCCTTTAGTATTTGTTTTTAAAAAGCAAAATATGCTGGCACAAAACAAGGCTCACCTCAAGGAAGGCTTTGTGGAAAGCCTCAGACACGTACAGGTCTGTGCGGCCCTCTGCAATGATACCTGAAATATAAAAATATACCAAGGTAAAAATTAGTTCAGAGAAAGCTCAAGAAAACACATTCTCATCCTTCATGACCTGGGATCAGGCGGAAGACATGCTGTCCTAAAACAAAAACATCCTCCTCCATGTGCAACTGACTGCTAAACTGCCATGTCTTCAGTGCAGAGCAGGGCTGAGTGTCCATGGTGAGACTTTACCAGAGAGTCCATCACTGGCTGCAGCAACATAGAAATGCGTTTGTGTGCTTGTTCCTCACGTGCTGCTGCACCTGCTGCCCTGTCTCAGGAGGAATGGCTGCCCCTCACCTCTACCCTGCACTGCCCTATCTCCACATCTCACCTGGGAGTCTGGCATTTTCTGGACTGAAGAGATCTTCCAGCCCCATTTTCCTCAGCTTTTCCTTGACACTGAAGCTGTCCTCGACGCGGAAGCGAGGGAGGTAGACGAAGAGAGACATCTCCTTCATGGAATCTATCCAGCCCTGCAGCTTCTCTGATGTCAGCTCTCGCTCCACCTCCTCCAGTGGTGTCCCAGCACTGGGCAGGACCAGCAGCATCGTGATATCATCCCCTTTGTAAGGCAGCTCCAGCACCTGGACTTTGTCCTGGGGGATGAATGCGTAGCGGAATTTGGACTCCTGGTACATAGTTGGGACTTGGCAGGTCTCACCATTGGCTTTATGAAATATATCCAGTTTTGTGTTTGGAGCTGGGAACTGCGATTTCCAGTGCCCCTAAAAAGGAGAGGAGGAAAACAAACATAAGCACCACATCTCCTCCAAGGAAGCGTGCTGTTCCCCAGTTCTGTTAGCTTTTGTTACCTTAAAATAAATAGTGTTGACCAGGACCAAGACAGTGAGATCATCAATACCACCTTCTGGGATCACTTCTGTAATGCGCTTCTCTGTCTTATTAGCCACCCACTCGTTAATGATCTGCCTGGAAAGTTCTGGCTTCTCCTAAAGGAAGAGAACAAAAAAAGGTTAAGCCGAGGGTTTTAAACCCCTCTTTGTACCCCTTCTGCAGGAGACAGGTTCCCAAGGGTACGTGCTGGGGAAGGACAATGAAGCTTAGGTATGACGAGTGGGGACGTGGCTGTGGTTAAGGTGAGCTGAAGTGAGAGGAGCTGCATCCCAGATTCCCTGTTGCTTTCACTCGTGTCCCACACACCCAGAGCAGAGCACTTCTGGGCAAAAGACAGCAATGGACTGGGGGTATGGGGTGGAACCAAACAAAAAAAGCAAACTCACTTTGAAGTTCAAGGGCCAGAGTTTTGCTCCATAAACAATTTCACTGATGTTCTGGTAAGTCTCATTAAAGACCAAAGATTTCTCCCCGAAGAGACGGTTGGCTGACACCAGCTCTGAGGATTTGTTTGCTTTCTTGTAAAGGCGGCAGTTCAGCTTGGCAAAGAAGAAGTGGATCTGATCTGATGTCTTCTCTGAAATGGTGTCAAATCTGAAGACCTGGACAAGCCAAACAGCAACAAGGAATCCATGAGGGGGCTCTTGTGCTCCTGGTGCAACCTCTGCCTCAACATCAACAAATCTGCAGTCCCTCAGAGCTTCACCCTCCATGTGTGGGAACCCAGATCTATGGAAAATCAACACATCACCTGTCCAAGACCTTTAAATGCTGTTAAAATTAACATGGTGTTCATAACCCCTTACCACACCCTAGAAATGAGCATTGCACCCACAGGGCCTATAAGCAGCTCTTGGGTCATATCAGGTCATGGGAGGGCTCACATGTGCTAAACCCTCCTGTGAAAATGCTAAAGGCTGCTCTTTCCCAGGAGGAATTCTCATGGGCTGTTGAGTACTTCTGGTACCTCTTATCTATTTTTACATGGCTGGGAAGATGTAGCAATCATTTTGAGGGTAGATTTTTGCAGCACAGGGAATTTTTTTTATCTGTTCCCAGCTGCCAGCTGGAAGGACAATTATGATTTGTCTGCTGCTATCCAACCTCAGGGCTTTAAGGCACAGAAAATCCCACAGCACATTGCTCTTTATGAACCTCCTTTGGCACTGTTTCCTGTAAGGCATTCCTGGTGTTCCCAGCCATTTCATAGGGATGGAGGGGTTAGGACTGCAGGTGTGGTTGGCTCAATGGAGAAGGTTCCCCTTCAAATGGGAAGGACTGCCCAGAGAGGAACACACAAGCGAAGATTTGGAGGTGTGTTTATAGCTGCTCCACTCAAGCTGTGTGGATAATGGCAGGAGAACACCAAGATTATTTGTTCCAGAGGTAGGATTTGAAAGGACAGCAACAGAGGGCTTTGATTCACACCTCCTCATTGCAGGAGAAAGGCTCCTCTGGGCTGAGGTCTCCCATTGGAGAAAAAGGTATGGGCAGCATCAAACCCCACATAGCAGGTGAGTGGGTCTGACATTGAGAAGGGTGCTAGGACAGGCAGGGAGTTAAATTAGCTGGATGGAAGAGCCAGAACCCAGAATTACCTCTTAGTCTGGGATCAGAACTATCCTCTGAGTAGAGGGCCAACAGGTGGAGGAAGAGGCTCCCCCTGTACAGGCTCCCTTGCCTTGGAAGTCAGGTGGACTGCGAGGTCTCCCATGTGTCTGATTTTTGTCCCAAGGAAGAGAGAAGGAATGTGAAAAAGCCCCTCTGACAGCAGGACTTGATATCATGGCTTTTCCTGCTTTTTTCATAAGGAAAAGCTTAGCTCAATCTACAAGAAGCAAACTGTTGTCATTCCCTTTCTTCACCTTCCAAATAGGCTTCCTTTCCTCCAGATAAAAACTAATCTCTCAAACCCAGGAAT